GTATCTTATATATAAAAATAAGTTATTTTGAACTAAAACCTAAACCTAAACCTAGGGATAATTTTGTCAATTATTATATTTTAATTTAAAATTTGAAATTCTTCTAATGCTCTATTACCCTTTTTTATATGTTTTAATGCTTTAACTGATCGGTTCATAGGTTTAAAAATACAAGAAATTAATTTCCTATTTTTTTGGCTAGTGGTATAACTCCATCTTCAACTAATTCTTATATTCATGCAATTCTTATTACATCTACTTATTTTTTCGTTTTTTTTTCTTGCAATTATGTATTTTTTTTCTTCTTAACTATAACTCCCCACTAACTAGAAGTTAGGATCACATGATCTCAACCCATCACCAATTGTACTCTATTTAAACGGATGAAAAACTCCTGCGAAAAACATAATTTTTTTTTGTTCGTCTTCTTCTTGCTATTTTTTTTTCTTCATCTTCTTCCTCACTAAGATTTTTCAACCTAAGCAAAGCCTAAGGAATTTATTTCTGTAGGTAAACAATATAATTATTTATTTAGATTTATTTTACATTTAAATTTCACAGCTCATAATAGTTGCTAACGGTGTTGGTTTTTTTAACACAGGCATAATTTTCGTTCACAATGACTTCCCACGTGTAAACCATATGTCTTCATTTCCTGTCATTATCAGAAGTTGATTTTAATTGCGGTGATGGTTACTCCTAAATTTGATTAGGCGAATTTTCTAAGATTGATTTGGTTTTCAAAGATAATTTCGAGGTTATACAGTTTATGTCACACTGTTTTCTTCCCACCAACCAAAGTAAGATCATTTTTTTTTTCTTTTTCTCATGTTTATTTGTTTGTTTTTACAAATGGGTTGCGTCTAATAATATTTCAGTTTCTGCATCTAATGGTTGTATTTTTTGCAAATTTGCTATGTTAGATTAATGTATATGTTCAGTATTTCTTTACAATTGAACTACAGGGTAATTATGGGAACCGGTTTTCCTGACCTTATAATATGATGGATATTTGTTAGTATGAAAAAAAAAATCTTTATTTTCCGAAAAATATTTTTTTGCGAGTATATAATAATATGAACTTCTTTTCTTTGATGTGTTGCTCAGGTTTATGTGTTCTTAAAAATGCAACATGTTTTTCCAAAAAATCCTTGGTGAATGTCATAGTGCAGAAAAATAATCAGAGAAAATCTTGAAGCTCTGCAAATTTTAATTCGGTTATTTTGCGTTAAATAAATTGGAGCTTTAGTTTTTTAAAATTGTGGTTTGTTCAGAGACGTTTGTTTTTACAAGAAAATGATTTTTTTTTTCACGATAATACTTATATTGATTTCGGTTAGTTAGCGTAAGCACTGTTTTTATTTGTGTTTTAACTGATGAGTGTTCAAACTTCTGTCAAGTTCGTTGTTTTTTATTTTATTACCTAAGATAAAAATATAGAAGTTTTGGCGAATAGCTACTTTGCTCTTTTCCGAAAAAATCTTTGACATAAACATGATTTTATCGTATTCTTTTACAATAAAAATATCTCTGCTCCTCAAAATTTTGTTTAGTTGTTTGAGTTATTTCGCTCTTTCCGTAAAACCTTTATCCACTGGTTTTTGGAATTATGCAAAAATTTCTCTGTGATCTGCGAAATTTTGTTTGTTGTTTATGCAAACGAAATTGCAGCTTTAGTTCGTAAATCTGTCTCTTGCACTTCACTCGAGACAATATTGTTATCGAACATTAATTTTACGTTTTCCTTCATAGGAGGTACAACAAAGATGGGGAGAACTTTGTTTTTAATGTTTTTAAAACAACCGTGACGCGTAGTAGCATTACTTTCGGCGCTTTGTGTTGCCTAATTTTACGGATTTTTTATTGAATTTTCAACTATCTTTGAAATTACGTCCCCTAACTTTTAATTTTCTTTTTCACGCATGTTTTTTATTGGACTATCAATATAAAAAGTTTTTTCAAATTTTCCAAGACCTTAACCAATCACGAGATTGTTGTTAATGTTTAGTGTGTTCAGTTCCAAATACTGGATCAGTTACGAGAACTTTTTGGGGCATTGACGAACATTGACATTTTATTGAGAGGTCAACATTGTAGGAATAAGTAATTAATTTTTTTTAATTAAAATAACCAATGGCAATATCTCTCTAGATCTCTTTCTCTGTTGTGATCTTATTGATAACTTTAATTAAAATTTTATATTTACGATTAGCAAGTGATTTTGCATACTGTGCATGCAGTGACAGTGACCATGATAAAATGAAGGCCAAGTATAAACTGAAGCTATTGTTGGGTTGAATTCAAGTACAATCTTATTTTTTTTTTGTGAGTGTTGTATCCATAAATTAAAAAAAAATTGTCCCATCCCTTAGATTGATTTTGTATTGTTTATTGTTTTGTCTAATAAAAAATTACTTATCAAATTTAATTCATTCTAATATGATTTAAAATTAGAATTATAAATATTATATATTGTAATTGTTTTACAATTTTTAGATAAATAGACAATTTGTTATAAATCTTAAATTGTTTGCGGTATAAATTTTTCGATCAAAATTTGAGGTGTCTTTTTTTTCTTTATCTTACAATGATGAAATGTAATTTGTGCTGAGGTGAGTTTTTTTTCTTCTTAAACATTGTTTTTTTTTTCTCATTTGCCAGATTTTGTAAAATTAGCCATCTGTGCCTTTGAACATATGAATCTTATATTACATATATACAATTTTAAATAAAATAATTATTTTCTTCTCTTTTGTAGTAGTTCCCGTGCAACGCACGGGCATGGTTACTAGTGTGTATTAATATTAGTATCAATATTAATATCAGTATCAGTATCATTATTAGTATTAGTATCAATATCATTATTATTATCATTATTAGTATTATTATTAGTATTCAAATTAATATTAGTCTTGGCGTATTAGCATTAACATTAGTCTTAGCATAAGTATTAGTATTAGTATTAGTATTAGTATTAGTATTAGTATTAGTATTAGTATTAGTATTAGTATTAGTATTAGTATTAGTATTAGTATTAGTACTAGTATTAGTGTTCCTATTAGTATTGGCGTATTAGTTTAAACATTAAATAATCGTATTAGAATTGGCGTATTATTATTAATATCAATGTTGATATTAATAGTAGTATTAGACTATTAGTATTAATCATCGTATTAATATTAGAATTAGTATTAATAGTAGTATTATTAGTGTTGATTTTAGTATTAATATTAGTATTGATATTAGTATTATCAATGTTAGTTTTAGTTTTAGTAGTAGTAGTTGTTATTAGTGTAATATTAGTATTAATATTAGGGTGACATATGCAATTGTACGCTGCAATGTCTAGAGTTAAAAATATATTTGAGATAAAGATATTTATTAACTCAGAGTCGGGCGATATAACTAAAATTAGAGCAATGTTGTTTGCACAAAAGATTTTCAGCGAATATGAAGGTAAATCATAAACTATATATTTTGATTTCAATAAAACATTTTTTTGGTATTATTTACATGTATGTCAATTGATCAATGTTTTCGTTCATTTTCTTTCATCCAATTTTTTTTTTTAAATTGATCCCGTGCATCGCACGGGTGAATTACTAGTTATTTATAACATTGGGGTAGTTTTATTATTTAATTATAATTAATCACTATTTTAACTAAATATATTCCTTAAAAATAGATAATAAATAGAGAAAAAATGTCAAAGCTCGTTACTATACCAATAAAAATATGCAATGTCCATGGAATCAAACCCCTTAGTGAAAGGACTATGTCATCTTTGAGGATAGAAAACATATTGAAATCATGTGTCGATGTTCTTCGACTTGTTGTTCGTTCATAAAATACTCATCATATTATTTTCTTGCGTGTATGCTTGGAATTGTAATTTCTTTGAGATAAGGTACATTTCAACAAATAAAATAATTGCACACAAACACTTGCTCGAGTTCTTTCGAGTATTTATTTTCTTTTGGCTCGAGCTCGACTCATCAGAAAGTTGCAGCGCGAGTTCGAGTTCTTTGTCGAGTCATCACGTCGAGCTCACGAGCGGGCTCAGCTCATTTGCAGCTCATTTGCATCCCTAATTCGGACCATGTGCATTGGGTAAACCTCGGGATAATTACAGTTTTAGCTCCCCAAGTTTGCACGTTTTTCACTTTTGGTCCCTCATTTACCGCCGTCAACAAAATATACACTAGTGTCGTCACATTTTAACACATTGAGTCCCCCCGTCTGTTTAAGCGTCAAGAAATAACGGTCAATTGTTGAATTTGGGGTCAATTTGTGATTTTTCAGTGAGAAAATTACACTCAGACCCCTGCATTCTTTTAAAATATTCCATAAATGCATAATTTTTTTATTTAGCCCTAATTTAACCCCAATTTCATTATTTAATCAATTTTGACAAACAACCCCGATTTTTACCACCATTACCGCTCACCGTTGATTTATTTTAACTTTTTTTCGGCATTGACCTTTTTTTTGTTAATATTGTTTTTGACGCCGTTCAGTGACATTCAATGTGAATGCTATAACCCGACATTCAACATCGGTAAAAAAAATAATAAAAAAAAAGAGATTAAAAATAAAGTCAGCAACAGATTAACTAGTTTTGAAAAAATCGGGGTCATCGGTTAAAATTGGTTAATTGATGAAATTAATGTTAAATTATGGCTGGATAAAATTTTAGGGATTTTTAGAATATTTTGAAAGAGTACAGGGGTCTTATTGCAATTTTCTCAAAGAAAAACCCCTAAAAGCCGGGTGCCAAAAGTGAAAAACTTGCATCCTTGGTGGACCAAAACTGTAATTATCCTGTAAACCTCCGGCGGGCAACGAGTGGAAAGATGTAAAAAGATTGGATTTTTATTAGGAGAAAGATTGTATTTTTATTGGATATGTTTATAAGGTAATTAAAGATTGGATTTTTATTAGGTTGAAGTTCTATGGTATGAAAAGACACACAAAAAAAAAAAAAAAAAAAAAGAAAGAAATTCTCATTCAGCGGCGCAGGAAGGAAACGAGAGAATGGTAAAACGAATGAATAACCTTCCAGAAGAAATAATCGAGAAAATACTGTACAAATTGCCAGTCAAATCCTTGTTGAGATTCAAGTGTGTATCGAAAGGGTGGTGTTCTCTGATCTCCAGCAAATATTTTGCGCAAGAGCATCTGAAGGAGAAATCAGGTACTGATTCAGATTTGAGCCATCATTATCTACTCTTCAGCGATTATATTAACCAACAGAGTATCGGGTCATGTTCTCTCCGGTCTATATTTGATGAACCGGACAACCGTCTCGGTCCATGTTTCCTTCGGTCTTTTTATGATGATGGTGATGGTGATGGTGATGGTGATGAACCAAACATCTTGGGGTCATCTTATCTTCGGCCTTTAGCAAATGATTTTAATCCAATCGAAACTTTCGATTTCGACATTCAGATAGTGGGATCATGTAATGGGCTAATACTCATCTCCATGAATTGGGATGAGAAATTGTTTATATGGAATCCTGCAACTAGACAAACCAATAGAATTATTGCTCCCTCTTTGCCCGAGCAAGGAAGACTTTATTTGCCGATTTGGGATGATATAATACTCGGGTTTGGATACAACGAGTCTACCGATGACTACAATGTTGTCGCCATCCTCATCTACTTTTATCCCCACCAGACACAGATGTACAGCTCCAAAACTGGTTCTTGGAAGGAAATCGAATCCCCGGACAAGAATATACCGTTCGACTTTGGTTCCGGCAAGTTTGTCAACGGACGGTTACATTGGATTGTGGAAGGGGACATTGTGCATGGTTGGGATATTGTTTCTTTTGATTTGGTAAGTGAGAAATATGAAGTTGTTGCTGGACCAGAATGCTTGTCTGTTCGTATTCATACTCGACCGGTTGTGAAAGATTTGGGAGGCTATCTAAGTTTGATTTGGTCGAGTGCCAAATTTGATGTACATGTATGGGTTATGACGAAATATGGCGTCTCTCAATCTTGGACTAGGATTTGGAAAATTGATGATTTCTCTGATCTCCAAGGTTGGATTCCTCGTGCAATGCCGTTATGTTTGCTGAAGAATGGAGATATGGCGGTATCTTTAGGACAGGATGTACTCGTTTGTAATGGACGAGATAAGTTGCGAAAGTCTCGAGTTCATATTCTTGACTCAAAAGTTGATTCCATTATCTATTTTGAAAGCTTAGTATCACCATTTGGTGAGAGGTGATTGAAGAGCATAGTCAAGATCTATGTCTTGTATCATCTATAACTTTACTATTATGTTATTTTTCTTTTTTCAGTTCAGAAATATTGATTTTGAGTTTTGGATATTTATTCCCTTTTTTTTTTGTATTGTCTTGTTTTGAGTTTTGGACATATTTAGTGTTTCTTGAGCTTTTCTCTCTGAAGTCAATTCGGCTACTCGGGCTTGTATTTGATGTTTTAGAATTGCTCGAAAACTCCTCTTGAGTGTTTTTTAATTTTCTTCATTAGCTTCACAATGTCTACTTGGGTGGTTTTTAATCCGCTTTGATATCGTAATTATGTTTGATTAGCTTCTAGCCTCGACTAACCGAAATTTACATTTAGGACTTTTTTGAAGGTATTATCGGTAAAGCTATCGATACAAATTGAATGGATGAAGTATTTCAACATCCTATATGAATTATTAAATATAGTATCCTTGTTTTGTCAGTTTCATCATATCCGAAAGTTGCTCACTTGAGGAGGGGTTGTGTACTACAAGTTGGAGTTACATAAAGCTCTCTTGATTGGTTATTCAAAGGTCATATTTTATCGGGGGTTTTTCGTTTCTTCTAATTCTATTTTCGGCTCATAAATGACCTGCAATCAGAATGCGTCCGTATGAGTATATACTGTAATTTAACATTTATTTTTGTTTCATAACATAATATTTGCGTGCATCTCCTCCATAATGGCGTATGGTGAAGCCAGTCCGTGACAAATTCAGCTTAAAATACACATGCCAAGCCTCGTCGAGAAACGAAAAAAACGCACTCTTTTAACACTTTAATGCAGATCTTTACCAAATTTCTATCCTTGTATATGAAAAAGTGTTCATGTGACATCTGCTTGATCTTGGAAGTAATTACTTTCCAGCTACAATGCACATGGAATAGTGTAGTTTACTTACTGAAGATGTCAAGAAATTACCAAAAACTAACAAGGAAAAAAAATTCAAAAACGAATACGCGTAATTTCCAGCATATTCTCATCTCAAACTTGAGTTGAAACATTTACTCCTACAAAAACAATAGCATTTACTCAACGAGTATTTAGTCTCGTATTTTCAATCCCCACTTTTATCCAAAAAGTACGTAAAGTTGAAACACACACTCGCATAATATTCTGCGTACTTTAATACTAACTAAAGAAAATTCTGCTAATCCCATCCCTCAGAAAACGCAGCAGCTGCTCCTGCCAGAACAAAGAGTTCATCTATATCAGTCATATACAAAAAAGTATAGCATAAACAGACTGAACTTCATGTACCTAATCTCATTGAAGCAAATCTCATCAAACCATTCTGAGCTTCTTATTACTCTGCCATTTTTAGAAGAAAACTTAGAGAAAAGATGGAATATTTAAAAAAAAAAACATCGAAAGAGAAACGATGATTACGCTGGTGGCATATAGCAGACCACCACCCACCGAAGGGTGGAAACATGCTGCAACGACTCTATCGACGGCACAAGGGAGAACCTTCACAATTTTCAACCCTGGAACAGTATATATCTGTAAAATAAATAAGGAAAAAATATAATTAACTTCAAATAATACCCCCTATGAGAAGAGACTCATACTCGAGTGCGAAAAGCATAGCTCAACTGTAAAAGCAAAACATTTGGTTCAATAATTAGAGGGCTCTTTAATTCACTAAATTAAATCAGAATAAGGAAATCAAAGAAGCAAAAAATAAAATAAAACACGAGACACAAACAAAACACCCTATCAACAAATCATGTGATACTCCATTCGTTCCACGTATAACTTTCATTCTATAGGCAAAATATCTAACCTCTAAAATTGTGTGGACTGTTACTCTTTCATCTCCATCGATAACGTAATTTCTTCGTACTGGACCATGTTGCGCACCATACGCAAGTACCATATGATGAGATGTGGGAGAAAACTGCAACAATGGACATCGAACTTCGGATAAATTTTGCATTTAAAAAATTTCACTGAAACGTACTAGTGTATAAACGATTATGAAAACAATTATGAAATGATGCTCACTTGTATAGATGTCAAACAGTGAGCATCTCTTATGGCCCCAGATTCCAAGACTAAGCCAAATCTAAACACACAAATTCATTAACAGTTAAAAAGATATACGAGATTAGGACAACCTGTAAAAATACATGCACTCATATCTCGATATAAAATTACTTACGTATTTTTTTCAAGTGAGTAGATCCTGAGCTCATATATAACTCGTTGAGGTCGTGGATCATCCAAGTCTGGTTTTGGTGAAAGACATGCAACACATGCAGCTAGAAATCTTCCACATGGTGAAATATGGGCACCCATGGAACTGCAAAGACCTCGTTTCATTTCAACTAATGCACTTAGTAATGAAAAATTAAATAGAGATAGTGTGCACAACTTGAACGTACCTTTGGAGTACGACATGCGGAATTGTTAGCCGTGGTGCATCAAGAGGGGTCTGGGGATTTCTCATATCATGTCGCCATATTCTAAGCTGCATTGTGAGACGTGAGTTGAACTCTCTGTCTTCAAATGGAACTTGGTGATGTGGCCAATAGCGGAACCAAACATCCACTTTCTCTAATAAAGAGGGTACAAACTGATATCGACCGGAATTATTCCGGTACATAAAACATGGAATGACGGAGAGAGGAGTGTCCATGCCCAACTCATGTTCACAGACTTTGTATGTAAATGGAGTGGGGTACTGCACGTCACGGGGCAGATTGTCGAGTACCGAGAGCTCCGAAACTGTGCAAGGAGTATGCTGAAAAGATACACTATAAACTTGATCACTGGAAGAAAGATTTATAATAGTAGTAACTGAACATAAATAAATGCATTACCTCAATCGTAAGAATTAAGGGCAGACATGGATTGAAATAGACACCATTGAATATTTCGGGTGCTTGCAATACAATAATCGTTGGTCCGATAGGCCCGTCCCTAGTGTAATTGCACAAATATAGCTGCAAATAAGAAAGCAAAATTGTTAACAAATTATTAGATATCGAAATATATTTAATGCTGCATATAAATATAACCTTTCTGCCGGCAGCTACGGCCAGAATCTCCCCATCGGAATGAAAATCCATCGAATATATGATACCACCTGGGATTTTTACACGAAAACATCGGAATACTTCAAATCAGAAAAATAGAGACATAAATATACATGCTCATAAAATGCAGATATTTCTAATACCTACCAAAGCTAAGCGATCTTAGGCGCGTTCCTTGACTTGTATCCCACCAACAAACTTCCGAGTCCCCTGCACTTACTACAATTTCGGGATACAATGGGTGGAACTTGACCTGCACGCACAAATGCCAGCATATCAGATAAGGAACAAAATCAAATTTTAGACAAGAGCTCATGTGTGGTTGTTTATAAGGGGATGAACACTGCAGCGGATTGGAGGAGCAAACGATATTGCTGGTTTAGATTTTTTACGCATTATGAATTGACAATATTGGCCATGCTAAAATAACGTGAAAGCCACATGTAAATTTTCTAGAGCAAAATATGGAAAAATGGCTAAACTGCCAGGTTGAAAAAAAGAACAACTGTTTTGGTGCAACGTGCAAAACGAGCCATGGTGTGTAAAGACTACTTACCACATTAGGTTTAATTCTGCAATGAATTTTCAATCTCATGGTGTCTCCAGTCTCACAGTCTATTAGCCTTAATGAGTGGTTCGAACTGCCAAAACAAATAATTCATTTTTTTGGAAATTTAACTGAGAAATATTTAACATATTCACTATGGAATAGATGACTAACTCTGCGCATGCAATAGTCTTCCCATCCGGGCTAAAGGCCATAGCCCTAACTATCCCGGGATAGTGTGGCAAAGGTTGTGGAATAAACCTGCCATGTCGGAGGAGTGATTTCTTCTCTGCCCTGTAGATCAACCAAAGTTATTATGAAATAAGGAGAATATATATATAGGGTAATCGATCAGCAATCACGTATGACAAATGCTGCCTTGTATATCAACAAATTATTTTAGCAATACTTCATTAAGAAACTAGGAAGATGATAGATTAATCAAACAAATACCACGACTGAAGCTGTCGTGCTCCTTTTGCTTGGCCAGATAGCTCTCTTTTAGCTAACAGATGAACTATACCACTGCAAGTAGAAAGGTTCATCATTACTGCCACATTAATTAGTACCATAAGGTACAACATGAAAAATACTATGACAATATAGCTATGATCAATACATACTCCGATCCAGAACTGAACCAAAACTTTGATCGGACACATCCCGTTTAATTTACATGGTAACAATGAATCTGATAAAAGTTCAACCATTTTGTGGAAATAATGAATATTATTATCAAAAACATTATGCAATATATGAATAAGAATTTACAAAAATGTAGTTTCTAATCATCACCAAACATTCGCATTTACATTTACATGCTCTACAATATAATTGTGCACTACATATAAAAAACGAGAATCTGGCCGATTTTAACTGTTTTGGTAACGAAAAACATATTTAGGCTTGTACATTTTCATGTGTAATTGTGGGGTCACGTTAGATTGATATTGTTCTTCTAGTACAAATAATAAATGAATAAAAAGAAATATGTTTATATGAGATGATCATGAGAAAGTATAAATTCAAATATAGCAGTGAAACTTATAGTCAAACACCATAACCGAAGTACATCAAGACAGTACTCTACCCTAATTCAATCAACAAACAACTTAAATTGCAAATTTGTTTCTCCACCTTAAACGATAAAAACCATTACACAAATGCATTTCTATATGTATTCAGTATAGCTAAATTCATAGACAATGAGATATTCAATCGTTGGTACAGATAAAGGTGGCACACAATGATTTTGCAACAGCCACAGGCTACATACGTGTGATTTGAGGCGTGTAAAGATCAGTACGATATCATTTCATTTAGGACAACGATTACACATTCATTAAACTACTTAAAACAATATTCATACTTAAATTGCAAAATAACTCCCTCCCGAAATGATAAAAACCATTAGAAAAATGCGTTTAATATGCATTCAATAGACAACAAAAATTCAACCAATAATATTGCAACTGTGTAGATTTCATGCTTGAGGCGAATACAAATCAGTATAATACGATTTTATCATGTGAATTGAGGCGTGAGGAAATCAGTACAATACCATTTCATTTAGGACAATCTTTACGCACTAAGACTAAAATAAGATAAGACTAAATAATTTAATGAAACCCAATTTTTTTATTGGATCTCGGAAGATCCAACAAAAAGCATGCTTAAAAAGCATAATAAGTCATAATAACGTAATATTTGCGGATCAAACATCAAACAAAGTCCAACGAAACGAGGCCTAAACATATAAAACAGTAATACTGGCTTAAATTGCAAAACAATTCCCACCCGAGGTGATGAAAACCACTAGAAAATGCCTTCAATAGAACTAAATTCACAGACAACGGCAATTCGACCAACAACAATTTTGCAACTGTGAAGATTTCATGCTTGAGGCAGAGTAAAAATCAGTGCAGTACGATTTCATCTATGGATAATCTCTATAGCAGAAATAATAACTTAATTGCAGAATAATTCCACCCAATTGATTAAAACCCCTTAGAAAAATGATAATCCAACCAACAATTTTGCAAATCCAACGATTTCAGTCACAGCCGGCTGCTTATACGTGTAAACGTGATTTCAGGCGAAGTAAAAATCAGTACGGTACCATTTCATTCACTACATAATCTGTACACGTACAAATTTTACAGCAGCAATACATTATATATACATCACTCAGTAAATTGATATGACCAGCTTTTTTATCTCATAATACTTGGAAAAAGTAAAAAAAAAAACACTATCGAAAGAACTCCTCTTACTAACCTAGGTTTTCGTTTCGTCGTCGGAGGAGAAGCCATCGCCATTCGCTGCCCAGCTGACGAGTTTTTTCCGACGATTATGCGAAGCTAGCTGACAAGTTTATTTTCCCGTTGGATCATTTCGAGTGTGTATTTGACGGAAATGCCCCTACTCTATGCCCATGCCAGAAGTATGTATTTCAGATTGTCTTTTGACGGAAATGCCCTTACCTTAGTGCCCAAGCCAGATGATAGATATAGCATACCACCTTTATGCTCATGCATATGTATGTATGTATGTATGTATATATATATATTCTTTTTGTTTCTTATTTTCATTTATTAAAGTGGTGGTTTTATTTTTGATAAATAAATTTAAGTGGTGTTTAGTGTTTAAATTTTTGACACATTTGGGAGGCAAAGTGATATTAACACTAACTAATAACTAGTAACACATTTTTGGTTCACGGGACATATCGTTGGTTGTACTTGTAAACATTTAAGAATTTCAAATGTATATAAGTAACATAAGATAAAATGTGAAGAAAAAAATAATTATTGATTACGATAAAATATGCAATAATGTTTTTAACAAGGGGTTCTTTGAGGAAACCCCCTTATTACTTTTTTTTAATAGACAGATGTCCAAAATATTTCTCTCCATTTGAGAAAAGCCCACACCCATTTTCAGCAATTATGTTTTCCAGCTTTGGCCCCACCCGCCACATCATCATTGTGTCATGCGCTCAGCGTTTTTTTCTTTTCGTTTTTTTTTCTTCGTCTTTTCTGTATCAGTTTCCTTAATCGACTATCACTACAAGAAATTGTGAAATCGGCAAGAACATTGTTAACTACGATATGAAATTCGTTGCGAATAGTTATGTTTCAGCAACAAAAAATGTAATTTGTGGCTGAAGTTTCAAGTTTCGACAACGATATATTTTTGTAGCATTTTATTCTCATTTGACAACGGAACTCATTGTTGTGAATAGTGCACTATACATTTAGCGACGAATGTAATAAATTACGACAAAATATTTTGTGGTAAAAAAGTAAACTTTTCAGCTACGATTTGAAATTGTAGCAAATTTGTTTTAAATGGCAACAAATTTACTTCGTTGCCATATGTTACAAAAGTCAACAAAATATTTTGTTGTAAAAGAGTAACTCGCTTCGCTACGATATGAAATTGTAGCCTATGTATTTTCATCAGCAACAAATGTATTTCGTTGTAATAAATTATAATTAAAGGCAACGTATTATTTTGTTGCAAAGAGTAATTCTTTTTGCAATGATGTGAAATTGTAGCAAATATATGTTAATTGGCAACAAATTTATTCCGTTGGCATAAAACTTTAAAGGCAACAAAATATTTTGTGTTAAATATGACATGTATGGTCATTGAAATGTGTAATATTTATGACATGTATGGTCATTGAAATGTGTAATATTTATTATTATTATTATTATTATTATTATTATTATTATTATTATTATTATTATTATTATTATTATTATTATTATTATTATTATTATTATTATTATTATTATTATTATTATTATTATTATTATTATTATTATTATTATTATTATTATTATTATTATTATTATTATTATTAAAAAATCTAATCCAAAATAAAATATAAATAAAATAATACAAATAACATCTATAAAATAATTATTCACTGTTAATTAGTAGTGGAGATGATAATAAATTATGAATGATAATAAAATAAACAATGTGTATTAATATATAAGGTTAATTATTAGAATACCGTGAACAAAGTTCATCTTTTATATTAACTCATATCCAACCTCTTTTATTAATTAAAATAACCATGTTTTGAAATGGGGAAAGTGACGAGACAAAGTGAACAACCCCCTGTCTTTCACAATATTTCTATGTTTGTAAAACTTCTCTATCTATAAAAATCTCACAGTAGACAATCTTCAAGTATAATACCAAAGCACTATAAACAAAATCTGTATCATCTCCAACAGAGGTAGCTGTTTTATCCATTGGAATGCGGACATCGGGGATTCTCTGATAGCGGCAACGATCGTAAGGTGAGTCTCAATATCATATTTTCCGACTATGTGTTGTTTCATTCTATTGCATTCCTTTTTTTTTTTGGCATTACTCGTTAGTGATAGCTCTTGAATTATTCGTATGTGTTTCTAATTTACCAATCAATATATTTTTATACAGATTATACGACCACATTTTATCCCCAAATTATGATATTTAAGAATTCTTCTATTAATGAATTGAAATTTAAGTGTCTGCTTTTAATTTATATCGTTTTTTTCATTAGCGTGTGGTGCTATGTAGAAATATTTGGTTTAACTAAGCTCTTAACTTACAGAATGTTTGATAATTCTTTCGCTAAAATTTATGTTTTTTTGTGTTTGATAATTATGTATATATACATTAATAGGTCATACATGATGGATAAGAGTTGGATGACTGCAAGGAGATTTTCTAATGAATATGTACTTGGAGTTGAATCGTTTATGAAATTTGTGGAAGAATGCATTGGCCAGGAATCTGACATTAAGTGTCCATGTACACATTGCTTGAACTCGTTTGTTAGAAGTAGAAAAGTAGTGCTCGATCATCTACTTATTCGAGGAATAGACATTGCATACACTAGGTGGATTCATCATGGTGAATGCTCTAACTATCAAGTTCCTGCTAGTGACTGTGATGATGATGACGTTGATGAAGATGACGAACACACAACTGGAGTGAAAGACTTGTTGACCGATCTAGAGAATTTCTATGAACATACGAGCAATTTTGATGAAGATCGCAGCGGAAATAGAAGTGGAGAAGGTCAAGATGTACCTATGACATTTCTTGAGTTATTAAATAAGGCTGAACAAGAACTATATCCAGGTTGCTCGGAGTTCTCGACTTTGTCTTTTATTGTGCATTTGTTGCACATAAAAGTTTATAATAAGTGGAGCAACAAGTCATTTGACATGATGTTATCATTGCTAAAGAAAGCTTTACCTCATGGAGAAACTCTTCCAAAGTCTTACTATGATGCGAAAAAAGATTTTAAATGACTTGGGGTTGGGATACATTGCAATCCATGCATGTAAGTACGATTGCGTCTTATTTTGGGAAGAGTATGAAAATTATGCAGAGTGCCCAGTTTGTAAAACTTCTAGATGGAAACTTAACACTGGGAGGGGAAAAATTTCCACAAAAAATTCCTCATATATGAAGCATAGTCGATTAGCCTTAATCGACTATACTTCATAGTCGATTAAGGAAATTCTTTAATTTTTAATTTTTTTTTTAGTTTTTTTTATTTTCTATATCTGGTATACTAATCGACTATGATGAAGCATAGTCGATTAAGAATCTGCTACTAAAAATAACAAATCACAACAGCAAAAAAAAAAGCAAAATCAACTACATATTATAAAAACAAAAAATATACAAACAGTATAAATGATTTATATAATTGAAATCAATAAACAAAAAATCCATAAAAAAATAAAAAAAACTAGAGTCGATCAACCTTAATCGACTACCAGAACATAGTCGATTAGCTTAATCGACTATGAACATGTACATAGTCGATTAAGATTTAAGCCTGCGCGAAATTCTCTACACGCGCCGTGCTCCGTCCGATAAAAAAAAACCCAAAATCAGCCTCCCCATCGTCACCACAGCACCCAGAGCTCCTGCCATGGCCGAACCCGTCAAGTTCTTGAGCATGTTCAGCTCCACCAATGAAGCAACATCAGTCTTGAGAACCTTCTTCACAATCTCCTCCTTGATGATGGCATAGATGGCCTTGCAACCTCTGATTGTGCTTGCCACCAGGCAACCCTCCGTCGTGGCCATGGGAACCGAGTACTCTCTTCCATCCAACAATAGCGGTCCTGCAATCCCAACGAGAATCTGCACGTAACCCACGGGCATTTCACAGCACTGTCCTAGTATGGCCTCGTAATTGAAGCCTTTCACGACCAATCCGGTGAGGGATTTGCCGGTGATATGCTGCAAGGACTCACGGCGGATGGCGGGAGCGCAACGGCAATCTCCGAGCTTCGATTCTAGGGCATATGAAGGGGTCTTGCCCTCCACCACCGACTTGACTATCTCCTCGTCCTCCTCGGAGGGAAGGGGAATGATATCATGAATGATTTTTTTTTATTTTTTATTTGTTGTTATTTAGCCTGGGGATGAAAGAAGCTTACAATCGTCGAATTGAGGGGCCGCTGCGGCGTAGGGGACGGCACGAGTATCCTCCTTGAGCATCAACCTGTCGTAATCGTTAATTTCGTCTTCATCCATAAGATCTTCTTCATCGGATGAGCGGGGAACAATGAGGGATTGGACAAATCCAATACCGAAGAAGCCGAGGAGATAGATGAAGGAGGGTGGAGTTACAGATCTTCTCTCGCCATTTGAGGAGCAAATAATAAATGACGGAGAAGAAGAGAGTGAAGAAGACGGCATTGGTGAGGTACAGAGGGAGGGGGAGGGCGTCGAAGGCCTTGATGGAGTGGGAATCCTTGGGCAGGCGGCGTTGGCCAATGGAGGCACCTTTCATCGATCTAGCGGCGGTAGCGGTGGATGGCGGCGGAGAGGTAGTGGTGGTGGTGAGGGGCAGAGATGGTGAATTTGGGAGAGAGAGAGGAATTAGTGGGTGTGAGGTAAAATGAGAGAGAAATTAGGGTTTCAAAATAGTACATTGACAATTAAGGGTAGATTTGGAATTATAAAAATAATATTTGGTGGAATACTAACTAAGGGGGTTTGCTCTAATTATTTTTGGAAGGAGGGGTTTTGCTAACTTTTTTTTTTTTTTGAGTAAATTCAAGTCCATTACAAGGGAAAATAAGAGAGTTGGTACATAGTCTTTACTTCATTACAAGGGAAGGGGGGTACCTAGCCTTTTTTTTGGTAAAAGTTAGGTACTAACTCTCCTAACGAGGGTAGGTGGGTTTTTCTTAACTTCATTTCCTAGATGAGAGAAGTTTCTGCTAATTTTCCCTTTTAATAAATCTTATATATAAAAGAAAGAAACGCTGGGCAACCCTAAAAAACCCTAATGGTATTTCTGTAATTATTTATTTTTAATATTTTTTTCTCTCCTAATTTCTAACTATAATTTTTAACAATTATCAATCTCCGAGTTTTCATCACTATATCTCAAATCTTAAGAGATAAATATAGAAATACGATTTTTTATATCCTAATCTATATATTTGGATTATAGATCTTAATATATTTGATTTAGAAAAACCAATGTTATATAATATAATAATTACTACATTATTAAATTTTACTATGTTAGAGTACGATATTTTCTTATTATGTACTCCCTTTGTTCCATAATAACTGTCTCTTTTTAAAAATATTTTTGTTCCATATTATCTGTCACTTTAGATTTCCAATACTGCATTAAATGCATTTTTCCCTGTTTTAACCTTATTAATTAAACTATAAGTATTAACTCTCTCTTATCACATCATTATATAATCAAGGTTATTTTAGTCTTGCTAATATATTTTACCTAAAATCAAGACACATTTATTGAGCTTCTTAATCCCTGTACAAAGCCAAAAACGACACTTAATAGGGAACGGAGGGAGTATTAAATTGATTATTTTTTTCACTTTTGAAATAATATCCCGTGCATCGCACGGGGAAAAAATGCTAGTACAATATAATAATAGCATACATTTATCTGAAAATGGCATGGATTCCTTTACTTCATTATCATCCGTATTTTGTTGGGTTACATCTACTATATCAATGTATCTAGGTGAAATTAAATAAAATCAATGTATATGAAAAAATAATTTCACTTGGTGAAATCGTGTACCTAGTTTGAAATCTTGAATTCATGTATTCAAATATTATTAAACAAAATTTTTTTTAGGGGAAACTACAGTTTGCACCCCTGAACTATGGGATATGTCGCAAACACCCCCCTGGACTACAAAACGTGACAAAATGGCCCCTCCGTTTTTTGGTCAAACGTTAGAAAATTAATACCGTTAATTTAAGAGTGTAATTACTTATGTACCCTTGTAACTCTAACATGGTCTGTATTGTGTACAGACTTATCATTCCTCTCACTTAGACAAAAAAATGTTTCTCATTCACTCTGAGAACGTAAGATCGAAATTTTCCCAAAATTTGATTTCTTTGCTGAAATTCTTCCATGGTTTGAATCATCTGAAAGCGTTGATGTCTGAAGACGTCTGAAGAAATTTGGAGGCAAAAAAATCAAGAAATCTAAAGAGAGACAAAGGTTAGTGTTGCTTTTAGGGCTTTCAATTCCACCTCTCTTTTTTCGTAGTTATGTCATGGGCTTGTTTTAGAAACAAATTTCTTGTGTTTATGGTGTTTATTTTGTCCATTTCGATGTTAAATTGGGGTTTTCACGAAATTAATTCACGATTTTGAGAAAATTAGGGTTTTGCAAAAATCTTTTTCGAATTTTTGGGGAATTAATTTGATTTGGTCTTAAGATTTATTTTTTGGACTTTTGTGGGTAATTTACTATTTTCCAAAACAATTTCCATTAATGTTGTGACTTTTCATGGGGTTTTCTTTCTTTTGGTATTCAGATTTAATTTTTGTTTTTTTTTTGTTTCTGCAACTTATGTGCATTTGATTAATTGATTATTTTTTCTTTTGTTTAGGAAAACATGTTGGGTAATCAGCTGTATACACTTAGGATTAACTACGGGGGGATTTTTTGTGGTGAAGGGGGTAGGTATATCAGAGGCAAGGTACACACTGTTAAAGATGTTGACCCAGATTTGATGTCATATTTCGAGATAATTGACTTAGTTAAAGAAATGGGATACCCTGCCACTACTGTTGTTTGGTTTATAATGCCTGCTGAAGTAGAATTGAAGCTGCTTGATAGTGATATCGTTGTGATGGAAATGTTTAGATTGTATGCTTCTGCACGTGTGCATGAGATTGATTTATATTTAGATGTCGACACCGTAGAAATTGATCCAGAAATCACAGAGGCTGATAATGAGGATAACTCAGAGAGAGATGAGCTTGAGAGTGAAACTGATCCTGATTATTATGCAAGTAATGATAGTGAAAGTGAAGATGGTTTGTCTGACTTTGAGTTCTTTGCTGAGGGTGATACATGGAGTGATAGTTGTGATCCTATAGGAGATCATGATGCAGAAACAAATATTTCACATCCAGTATCATATGCTAAAGTTGAAAAACCATTTGTTACAGGAGAAAAAGATATTCAAAGTGATCCAGAAATCCTCACAGAACCTAGTGACTCAGATTGTCAAAACACAGGCCTAAAATTTCCAGAGTTTGATGAGGGGCCTGAATAAAAAATCCAGAACTTGCAGTGGGCCTTGTGTTTGCCAATTCTTCTATATTTAGGAAAACTTTGAGGCGGTTTTCAATTGTGAGAGGATTTGAACTGAAATTTGAAAAAAAATAGAGAAAAAGGGTGACTGCATCTTGTAAGAATAAATGTGGGTGGAGGATACATGCCAGCTTACAGGGTAAGTCCACAGCATTTCAGGTGAAGACAATTAAAGGTGAACCTCATAGGTGTCCTAGAGCATTTAGGAATAAGAGTGCCAACTCCACTTACCTTGCAGAGCAGTACTTGGAACATTTTCTTGAAGACCCCTCTATGTCTATTAAGTCATTCAGAAAGCTGGTGAGAAAAGAAGTGAAGGTGTATGCACATAGGCAAAAGCTATACAGAGCCAAACAAAAAGCCATTGAGAAAGCTCATGGCAATGTGTATGAGCAATACTCTAGAGTGAGGCAGTATTGCCATGAAATTCTAAAAACCAATCCTGGTTCTACTGCAGTAGTTAAGGTTCAGGGCCCTCCAATATACAAAGATCCTAGATTTCAGAGGATTTTTGTATTTTTTGATGCAATGAAAAGAGATTTTATAGAGGGTTGTAGACCAATTATAGGATTGGATGCTTGCTTCTTCAAGACTCCTTATGATGGGCAGTTGATGGCTGCTATAGCTAGAGATGAGAATAATCAGATGTTCCATTTAGCTATTGCAGTAGTTGAAAGTGAGTGTAGAGAGAGCTGGACTTGGTTTTTAAATATGTTGAGTCATTCTGTAACTAGTTTTGATCTAACCTCATGCACCTTCATTTATGATAGACAGAAGGGATTAGTCGAGACTTTTCAATCCATTATGCCAAACACAGATCACATATTTTGTGTAAGGCACTTGTATGCAAACTTCAAGCTGAAGTTTAAGGATAAGGCACTGAAAGATCTGACGTGGAGTGCAGCAAGGGCTTATTTGGAGGAAGAATTCAATAAGAAAATGGATGAGATCAAAGCCTTATCAAATGAGGCTTATGTTTGGTTAAAGAAAATCCCAACCAACTTGTGGTGCAAGCATGCTATCTCAGCAAGGCCAAAGTGGGATCTATTGAGCAATAACTTGTGTGAATCCCTTAACAACTACATCAAGGAAGCTAGATAAATGACCATTATTACAATGATGGAGGCTTTGAGGAGACAACTTATGTGCAGAATTCAGAGTAAAAGACAGTGGATAGAGAAATGCACTACCAAAATTTGTCCTAGGATACAAAATAATTGAACAGTATCAAAGACAAGGCACTTGAGTTTGAATGTCATACGGCAAATGAGGGGCTGTGGGAAGTGACATTAGAAAAAAAGGGTTGGGTTGTGGACTTTAGAAAAAAGTCATGCAGTTGTAAGGAATGGGACATGACAAGAATACCATGTACACATGCCACTTGTGCACTTATGTCTGAGCACAAAGATGTAGAGGATTATGTGAGCCCTTATTTCTCTGTTGACAACTACAAGAAGGCTTACAGTTATACTTTGACTCCTCTGGCAGACCATTCACAATGGTCAATTCCATCAACACAAGCTAAATCACTGCCAATCTTGCCACCTCCATTCAAGAAACAGACTGGCCTACCAAGAAAAATGAGAAAGAGAGGATATGATGAAATCAGTGTTGGAGTCAAAGTGACAAGACAAAGAACGTGCAAACATGCTCAAACTGTGGTGATATCACTCACACCAAAAGAAGGTGTAAGAAACCTCCTTCACAAAAATCAAGAAGTGCTGAAAGACCAAATAATGTAGAAAGGCCAAGAAAAAGAATTAAGGTTATGTGTTTATATTATTATTGATTAATTCATTTAGTACGTTTGATGTAGTTAACTAAAGTCAATAATTTTGCAATTGCAGGAACCTTCATCTTCTGTTAGTGCAACCACTTCAACCCCACATCACAATACAAGAACAAATGTTGCAGGACAATCCTCTACACCAATACAATCCTCTACACCAACTGGTCCTTCTACACAATCCTCTACACCAGCTGGTCCATCTACACAACATGTTAGAGGACAAAGTAGCAAAAGACATGGACAAAAAAACAAAAAACCTGCAAAAAAGGTGGTCCCCATGCTGGAATTGGTAATTGGAATGGGGTGCAAATGTTCAGACCTCCTATGCAGGTATTTTTCTCTCATCATAAATAATCTATATTTTCAATTTTGAATAAAATATTACTCATTTAAATGC